CTAAGAGGCAAATCAAGCACTTCAGTCTTCAAAGCTCTATACAACCTCTGAAAACTGGCAGGCAGATGTTGTGTGTGATTTTGCCATAAGAGCTCGCAGATCTCAGAAGCTCGAAAAGAGATAGTTCGACCCAAAATCAGCTCGACCTAGAATCAATTCGATTCAGAGTAAGCTCAACCTAGGTGAAGCTCATCACAACTACCAATCCAAATAGTTGTTCAACGAAATCAAAGATAAACTTCAATCTTGGATATTTCAGAAGGGATAAGATCAACATCACTGACAATGCAATCTCAACCCTTAATCACGAAGATCATGGGATTGCAAATCAACTCTGATTGCAATCCCAAACTTATCTCTCTTTCCATTAATTACAACTTGTATAAAAACTCCCTCAAACGATGAGAAAGGGTTAGCAAATTTATTTAGGTATATGGTATTGTTATTGTAAGCCCTCAAAAGTAATAATATAACAGTGGACGTAGGCTCAAGTTCTGACTTGCTGAACCACTTTAAAAATCCTCTTGTGTTCTTTACATTATTGCATCTTTTACATTCAATTGCTAGTTTATCTTAAATCATGCACACATTAGTTCTGATTTCATCCAGGTCAATCAGTTTTCTCAGGTTGATGCAATTTTCGTATCAACATCTATAATAAGAAAAAATTAAGAGATTTCATTAGTTATCTCATTGGAATTCATAAAAAATAATTTTCAATTTAGACAAAATAAATAATTTTAATAATATTACATAATCATCAGCTTTCATTTTGGAAATTCGACATTAAAGAACAAACCATCAACCAAACATAGTTTACTTGCCAAAATATTGATTTATAAGGAGTGGCAAGAACACTCTTTTTCACTGTCTTCTCATCCTCTCTCTCTCTCTCTCACTAATCATGTAATACATGTATAAAAAAGACAAAATAAAAAGGAAGTAGTAATTTATTACTTACCTTTTTATCTTTTGTACACATGTCAAATGTGAGTGAGGGAATGCAAAAGAGTATTCTTAACACTCCTCTTGATTTATTGATTTGTATGAATGTACTAAATTGGTCACTTGAATTCTTTGCATGTTTTCTGTTAGGAAACGATCCACATACGCAGAGAAAAACAAAATCATAATACAAGGATCGTTCCAAAGAGCCAAGATCAAAGGTATGATTTTACAGTTTATATTAAAGTAGAAATTTGTAGAATTATTAATCATGAGTTTAGAAAACATATGCACGTTTGGAGGCTCCTCCAAATTTGTCGTTGAACGTTTTTGCTACCAACCCAAGTGTAGGATCAAACTAACGTAGTCCACATGAAGATAATCACAAAGAATTAAGGAGGGATTTGCTAGATCCTCCTTAGCCTTGAGAATCAAAGAAGAAACGAAGAGAAATTAATTTTAGGCACAAATCAATTCTGGTGTGAGAGTGAAATGAGGGGCTGTGTGTTTTCTTTTCAATGAAAATAAGTGTAATGAAAAACTCTTACATTTTACAAAGAAACCTTTTCTTTTATAGTGATGTTTTTAATTGCCCTATTCCCATATGGAATAGGATTGGGCTTCAACCCAAACACCCAATGTTTCCAAACACTCCCAATTAGATATTTATTTTAATTCATCATTATCTTCAATTAAAATAAAGTTAATAAATATAGATATTAGATATATATATATCTTATATATATATATGTATATATATAATATATATATTAACATTTAACAATAATGATAATTTATTTAAATATATGCTAATACATTTTTAAATGTAATTTCACTTATTTAATTTTTCTAATAAATTAAATAAAAGGCTACGACCTCAGCAAATTTAATTGCACCGTGAAATTACCAAAATACCCTTTTGCCCAAAAGGACAAAAACGCCCTTCTTTCTTCTTGAGTCTTAAATTATCTTCTATGTGTGTGACCTATAGGCTCCTCATCATACCAGTAGTGTATAGTATCACGATTAACACCAATTAATCATCTCACTAATACACAGACCAAGATTGGCCCCTAGGAAGACATCATGACCACCCGATAGATTCAGATTCAGCAAAGTAGCTACTTGTCAACGATATGGTTACCGTACAATTCGATTCTTTCATCATACGTTATCTCGATGAGATGAAGACATAGAAATAGTGTCAACCTTCGGTTACTCTCGATATTATGTATTCAGTTTCTGAACCAATGACCTGTATTATAAACTTGATAGAGCAACAACTCAATCCCACTGTGGCCATAGTTTTAGTGTCATTGCCATATACTGAATTGCGCCATGAGATAACTTCTTCCGTACCCAGGAGTGATGAATCCTCTGTCTATCCACCATAGTCTTGATACACTCCTTGATGCAGCCAATCACCACCGTATTGACAGCTCTGAATAGAATTGCGTTAGGCTAGTGTCAAACTGCACCAATCGGTGCACAAGGCGCTCCGGTAATCTCAAGTCTAAGGATCACATGCACCACCATTCGCTAGAGGATTTGTTCCATAGACACTGGGGTTACCATCCATATGGAATCCTCTGGTGGGTCAGTCCAGTGAACTTGCTGCGGTGTATTCGCCTACAGCAAGCACCCATATGTTGCACCAGGTTGTCACCAAACAACCTTGACAAGTGAGATCAGTCACTGCCATTCAACAGGGTCGTTCAACACTATGATAGCCTTACCGTATTATCTGTGCCCTTACTTTAGAATAATACTGGGTCTACGGACGTTTCTAGAATGACCACCATATGTGCTCATAGGGTTCTTACTATCAAGATTTGAAACACTTGATACCCTCGTCACGGTTCTACCATTTTAAGGATATATATCAATACATATTGCAATAATAATGATTTACGCGATATAGAATAAAATGCCTTTTATTATTGATTAATGAATGGCGTGCTGTCGTAGGCATTAAAACCTAAAAAATACATGTAGTAGTGTGAGTCAGGATCATTCCCATGGAGAGTGTCTAGCCGAATTTAATGTTATGTGAACCAGTATGGGGGGGTTTTGAGTTAAACAGAAACAATTTTGGGAAAACGACAATTCAAATTAATCAATCAATCAAAATAACAAACCTTTGTCTAAGTCAACATCCACCATCGGAATCTTTCAACTGATCATCGATACCAAAATAAATCAATTCATACCCTGAATATTCACTGTTGGAACTATTTTCCTATCTATCCTTAGTTTAATTCATTAAGAAACAAGCGATCTAATTAACCTTACTATTAAACAACCCTAGACAAGCGCTAAAGATTTAATCTAGTGGCAGCCTTAAGACATAGAGAGATCAATGAAGCTAAAAAACACAAACTCAAGCGGTTGCATTTAATTTAGTCGAGTGTTCTTCTTAAGAATTACTAATTCCTGACGCAGCAAATTATTAACCCTAATTGCTTCACAAGTTAGAGGAATCAAACAATTACGGATTTGATATCTAACTTAGCAGTAGATTGCAACAATTAATAAACTAGTAGGCCTCCTAGTAATTAAACGCAACAATCATGAAAATATGCATGGAAGAACATTCAATACTCAAACATAAATTGAACACTTAAAGAAAAAAAAAACCAGATTGATCTCACAGTTTATTGATTCCGAGGTCTTGTTTCCTTCGACCAAGTTATAAAAATTAGCCACTCATGGCCATCACAAAAATTCCAAGGAAAAACGAAAATCCACCAAAGAGAGAAGAGAGAGGCGTGTGTGATCTCCTTAATCCCTAATCTGATCTCCCTTTAAAAATATCTAATTCGAATTCTAATTCTACTCAATCTAAATCTCCTAAAAATATTCTAAAATCCCAAAATAACCTTTATCCTAATATGAGTAATTGAAAATAAAATAAAGTCTTAATACAAAATAGGAAAATGGTGTTTCCAACTGTAATTTGCGTGCAACAGGTTTTCAAAACTTCTTGTAATAATTTGTCTATTTGAATTGCATGACAAGGCGGAATGTTCCAGAACGTCGGCAATGCAGGTGCATCAATTTCAAGCTCGATTACAACCTTTATGCAGCAAGTATCTCTCCAAACTCAAAACATAAAAGTTGTAGATATATTTCTTAGCGTTCCACAGCATTTTGAATCATCTCAATCGGAGCTCGGATGAGAGAGTTATGCCCAGATTACGAAACGACGTTGAAACTGTCCGAATTCACTTAATTAGTTCCTTATTGCAATTAATGCCTCAATTTGCATCCTAAATCAAAATAGAATAATAATGAGTATATTTAGGCGGCAAATAAGTATAAAAGACTAGACATTAAGGGGGTTAAATATGACATTTTACATTCTCATCAATGAACATTATTACAAATAGTCAATTCTATAATAATTGATTGGCTCTACGGTATCTACTCTAACATTTTCCCAGTTGACTTCTTGGATCCCAATTTTTCTGGGGAAACATTTTCTCTTCTTTGAATAAAGCAACATTGTTCTCACAGTTCCATTTAATTTGTTAGATTTTATGTCATTGTGTCACTGTACAATTATGATTAGACTAATTCATATTTTATTGTTTATTAGAATTCTATGTTGATTAGGATTTGGTTTTAGATTTTCTATTTTTAAGACTGTGGAATTTATCTTTGGGGGCCAAAGTGTATTTTTTAATATATGAGGGACATCCAAGTATCAAAATTTTATTAAACAAGGCGCATCTAAGGGGGACAAAGTATAACTCAACAAGTAAGATACAACTATTAAAAGATAATATTTTATATATAAAATTTACAGCCTTAAGGATAAGGGCGGTCCGCCACTGACTTTGAACATGACTACAAAAACATAAAATTTTTTTTTTTTTTTTTTTTTTTTCCGGCTACAATACAAAATTAATATTTATAGCATACATATAACCAATAACATCTTATTATCTCTGTATTAATACATATAATGAAACCTTTTTTAGCTACTCAAAACACTTTTAACTTTTACAAAACAAAACAGTAAATAACTTTTTTATTTTTAATTGAAGCTCTTATTATATAAATACAAGTTTCATAAACTACTTGAAGGAATTTCAACAGAAACCAATAAGGAAAAAGATTAGGCAAGAAATGGACAAACTTTACAATAAGATTCAAAGCTTCAACCATTTCATCTCATCTTTTCCAAGTGAAAAAATTCTCTATAATCTGAAATGAACCAATCAAAGTCAATTGCCAACTCTTCCACAATTTACCAGTAATCCCTACAAGAACAGTCACCATCTTTAAAATGGTGAAACCGGCTACGGTCCCTCACAACAATCTCCCTATTAAAAACTTTTGATGTAAGTTTAATTACTAAATGGCAATCTGCACATACTCTTAGATTCTTGATGACCCTAATTGGAGTTCTTGGTGGTGTGTTAATAAGCATAAAAGCAATAGCAATCTTCTCGCTATGATACGACAAAGCATTCTCCTTTTCTTCTTCTTCTATATCCATAAGCACATTTTCTGTACGCGGCACATAACCTTCCTGCTTCAACTTCTTTGTGATCTCTACCAGCATTGCATATATTTCCTCATTTTGAGGATGGGATCTATCACCCATGTAAAATTCATGGACATGATTTCCCAACTCGACAAAGCTATGCCCCGGAATCTTCTTCACCCTTTCACCAACCATTGTCCTCCTAACTCTTTGCACATCTAACCAACGTTGCTTGGATGCATACAAGTTTGACAGGAGCACAAAATCCCCACTGTGTTTAGGCTCCAATTGCAAGAGTTTTGTTCTTGCAATATCTGCTAAACCCGAATGGCCATGTGTTGTGCATGCTCCTAACAATGTTCTCCAAATAACAGCACTTGGTAGCATTGGCATGTTTTGGATATATTCATATGCTTCTTTCACCAAGCCCGCCCGACCCAATAAATCAACCATGCAACCGAAGTGTTCTATCTTGGGCACAATTTTATACTCATTTGTCATCCTTCTAAAATAATTGTACCCCTCATCTACCATCCCACAATGACTACAAGCATACAGAACACCTACAAAAGTGGCTTCACCAGGCATGAATCCCTCTCTCTCCATCTCCTTGAAACATTCAAGAGCTTCCTTACCAAACCCATTAACAGCCAACCCCACTATCAAAGAACTCCAAGAAACCATATTCCTCTCTTCCATATCATCAAACACTTTCTTCGCCTCTCTAATGCTCCCGCATTTGGCATAAAAATCCAAAAGAGCGTTATTAACATTAATGTTCTCACTCAACCCAATCTTGGACATATAAACATGAGCCCTCCTCCCCAAAGCTAAAGCACCAAGCTCAGCACACGCAGAGAAAAGACCAACCATGGTGAACCCATCAGGTGAAACACCCTCAAAACACATTTCCCTTAAGAGGGTTAAAGCCTCGTTGGGTCTCCCATTAGAAGCAAACCCATTAATCACAGAATTCCAAGCCACAAGATCCTTCTCACACATTAAGTCAAACACTTTATAAGCATCTTCAGCGTGACCAAAACTAGCATACATATGAACCAAACCGTTTTGGACAAAGAGCAAGGACTCAAACCCATTTCTTACGGCAACCGAATGTATCATTTCACCTAATCTAACATCCGCCAATTTAGCTATAGCTTTCAAAAGGAAAGGGTAAGTATGCGTGTCAGGTTTAATGGAAGAATAATGCATTTTGTTATACAATTCAGAAGCTGGGCTCGGGTTTTCACTCTCGGCGTATCCTCTGATCATTGTATTCCAGGTGAAAATATTTGGGTCTTGAATGAAAGAAAAGATTTTATGAGCGTACGACATTGAAGCTGAGAGTGTAACGATACCGTATATAAGATGTTTACCGAAGTCTGGGTTGGATAGAGGGACGCCATGCTTGATGGAGAAAGCATGGACTTGCTTCAGTTGGAGTTTGGAGGAGACGCAGATTTGCAGGAGAGTGACGCATTTTTTGATTATATTGGCTATTGAATTTTGTGGGGCAGTTGACGAGGGTGTTGCTAAGGGAGTGGACTGCTTTGAGTGCATAGGGAGGGAAACATTGAGCAATTGATGAGATGAGACTAAAACTTGTGAATTTCACAACTAAATGTTAGTAACCGTAGCCGATGGAAAGCATGGGTGATTCAAAAATGACAGTCCGTGGACGCGATTGTTTTTTTATTTTTTATTTTAATTTTCTGCGGGCTCTTGTTAATATACACGAATTCTATGATCCATGTTTCTACCACTTTTCACTGGTCGAAGTCTTTTGATTTTTTTTTTTTTAAATTATCACTCATATTTAGATATAATCACTTAATAGAAACAGTTGAAATCTACGACTTATATCGAAGTTTTACTTAAAAATTGTAAGAAACACATGAAATAAATTACCTAGTATACTTTTATGCATTTATATATTTATATAAAAATATTTAATAAGGTCTAAAAAATTTTAAGTGATAATATATATATAACTAAAAATAATTGTGTATAATCTAATATCAATCGATAAAAAATATAAACTTTTATTTTTTTAAAGTGAATATAACTAAAGGATTGTCTTTAACAATTGTTGATTTTTGTTGTAAGGAATTATTGCAAGATGCACAGTAGAATATAATTTAAAATTTTTAATAATTCCTTATTTCCCACTAGTCTCGGGATTTGATTATTATGTTTACATGTTAAAATAATATAAAATTCATTCAAGAATTTAGAAAACATATCAACGTAGTCGGCTTCTCCTTGATTTGATTTCTTTGCTTTTCAATTCAAGAACGAATTGCACGAATGGTTATCCATACAAGGAGATGCCAGAACGATCAAGGAACAACTCAATTGCTAGATTGAGTATGGAATTTGTCTAGGAAAAGCTTATGAACGGCTAGGGCTTTGGAATAAAATGATGCGCACAAGTTTTACACTCTCTCAAAGTGGCGCACAAACCAAAAATCAAGTGTGACCCTAATCCATTTTAGAATATAATTAATTGATTTTATTTATTTAATATAGTTATTGTAATTTTGCTTATCTAGATTTCATGAAGAAATAGACATCTGCGACAACTAGCAAAATTACCCAAGTACTATTTCCCTATGAAAAGACCAAAATACCAATTTTCTTGCTAAAATAACAAAATACCCTTTTGACCTAAAACCAATGTTCTAAAATCCGACGCGAGGGTGCCACTTGGCCAAGGGGTCGGGTCCAGGGTTGACCAGTCTAACCAATTAAACCAACGGTCTAACCCGTGACCCAAAAGTTTGAAATCTTGCAAAAACACCCTTGAAAAATACAAATCAATCCCTATAGGTTTGAAATCTTATAAACACACCCTTGTGACAGTTAGGGTTTTGGTTTCTTTGGCCACATTCTGGTTGATTTTGATTGCCAAAATTCAATCTAACACCACCACCTGAACCACCGGCCTCCACTCTACAAAACCCCTTTACTCTAAGCACTTGGTAGCCCCTCGTTCGTCGGTCGTGACTTGCGTACTGGGTTGATTTTTTCAGCAAATTTCAGTTAATTTCAAGGTCCAAAATTCAATCCGACACCACCCGTTGAACTACCGGCCTCCACTTTACAAAACCCCTCTAACTCCGACACTTGATAGCCCCTCGTACATCGACAGTCAAATTAGGGATTTGGTGAACAATTGAAAATAGTTAACCAAACCGGAGAGGGCACTAGTCACCGGCCAATCTAGTTCGATTTTTAGAACATTGCCAAAAAGTACTTCCTTGATCAAATATATGTTTCGGAGTTCAACTAGTCTTATGTGTGTGACCCATAGGCTCCCTATCATGTTGGTAGTGACTAGTGAGTAGTATCGTGATTGACCACCAATCAATCGTCTTACTACACACGAACTAAGATTGACCTTTAGCAAAACATCATGGCCACCCGACATGTAGAGATCAACAAAGAACTTATACTTGTCAACAATATGGTTACCGTGCAATATAATCATATCATCATCCGTAATCTCATCAAGGCTAAGGTATAGAAATAGTGTCATCCTCATATTACATCCTTGATATTTTGGTGTTTGGTTATCAGACAAACGGTCAAACTAAAATTGGATTTGAGCAACAACTCAATTCCACTGGAGCCATAGATTTGTAGTCATTGCCAATTAGCCAAACTGCTCAGTGAGATAATAACTCCAGTAACTAAGAGTGATGAATCATTTATCGATCTACCATAGCCATAGTGTACTTCATAATGTAGCCAAACACTACCATATTGATAACCTTAAAAAGGACTAGGTTAGGCTAGTGTCAAACTACACAAATAGGCACACACGACATTCTAGTGATCTCAATTCTAAGGATCACATGCACCACCATCCATAAGAAGATTTGTTCCATAGACACTGGGGTTACCATCTACAGTAAACTTGCTAATCAACAAGCACCCACGCGTTGCACCAGGTTATCACTAAACAACCTTGACATGTGAGATTTGTCACTACCTTTCAGTAGGTTCATTCAATGCTGATGTGAATTGGCCAATTAATCTTCACGTGGACTTAGAAAATTGCAAAAGAGAAACTACTCCAAGGTTTGGGAGCAATTCGGCCCATCTTGAAGCCAAAATGCAAAACAATTTCAAGCTCTCCAACAATTCGCCCTAAGTCATGAAGATAGAGCAAAGTGAGTCCTCTTGACTCAATGCAAGTCCAATCCGTCCAAATCACTTATTAGTTGAATTCTTGAGCCCTAATCCATTATTTGGGCATAATGTGATCACACGTTCAAGAAAGGAAAAAGAATTCAAATGTTAGTCACTTATTAGCACACAGGAACAACTAATTCAAGGAGACAAAGTTTTTTTTTTACCAAGGTATTCAGGCTAGTTTTTACACATCTCAACTAATTCTCGGAGCCTATTGAATACTATACAAACTCAATATTTCAAAATAAGTTACAAATGTAATAAGTGGTCCCAAAGTTCGAATTTAAGAAGTCAATGAAGGGAGTAAACATTCTTAATTGTCAGACAAACCCATTGCAGTTCAAAGAGACAACGTTATGATATAGGTGGCTTAAGACTTTTCAAATTCGGAAAAGACAAAGTTGTTTATGTTGGGCGGCTCCTCGTCCCCTTCTACTTATCAATTATATAATTCTCCTTTTGTTTAGTGTAATGAATCTAGGATAACCTTTTATTATAACCCATGTGACCTGGTAATGTGTATTTTGACTTGTAATTTCTTTTGGAAGCCACATGTAACACTTTCATTGTATCTCTTTTGTTCTGCACCTTTGTAACAGTAAGGATGAGCACGGGTAGCGGGTAGAATCAGAACTTGGGGGTAGAACCAGAATCAGAACCGGAACCTACCCGGAACCGACACTATGCGGGCAGGTTCCGGTTCCAATTTTTTGGAACTGACACTGTGCGGTTCTGGTTCCAGTTCTTGTGTGTGGAGGAACCGGAACCGGAACCTGGAAAAAAAAACCTAAAAAGGGTATCCTGTTTGGAACCTGTAACGGGTACCCGGTTTAGAACCGATTTTGAAACCTATTTGGAACCTGTTTTGGATACTGTTTTGAAACCTGTTTTGGAACCTGAACTGCAATGAAATATTTGTGAAATGTGAATAATGGGGGGTTTCTATTATTTTACATATAAAAAAATTTAAAATAGAAAAAATTAAATTTTTAGAATAACCTAATTAAATAAATATACTAATATAATTATACTTATTACATATAAATTATACTATATTAAAAATTTTAATATATTAATATTAAAGTTTTCATTAATTAAGTGAATAATTGAAATTATGGTCCAATTAAAAGTGTTTTAAATTTTTAATATTACCCAGAAACTATTTTTGAATAAAATAGTATATTTGATGAATAATAATATATTTAGTTATTACTTCAATTATCAAGTTCTAAGTTATTTATAGTAAATTAGCAATTAATTAATTATATATGATAGATGATAAATATTAATAAATTTAATTACTAGTTAAATATCATACTTAATCAATTATAAGTTTATAACATTACATTATAGTTAAATGGTTATTTAATTAATTATAATTTTATAACATTATTAATGATTATAGCAAATTAATATAGCATTACATTATGGTTAGTACTTAATTATGACTTATAAATTATAATATTTAGATATTACTTAATTAAATAATTAGAAATTATTTATTATGTATTACATTATAGATTTATAGTAATTACTTAATCAATTATAACATTCATTATAAACATTGGTACAAACTTAATTAATTAAATTACATTAAGATTTAGTAGTAGATCTTAATTCACTTAACATTACATTATAGTATGATTACATAATTAATATAACATACTGCATTAGTGCATTACATAATTAAATGGTTACTTAATTAGTATGATATTATATTATAAAATATAGTAATACTAATTATTATATAAACATTGTAATTTAGTATAATACTTAATTAAATTATTAGAAATTTAATTAATTACAACATTACATTATAAATTTATAGTACGATTACGTAATAATTTTAACATTACATTATAATTAAATGATTTCTTAATTAATTATAATATTCTATTTAAAAAAATTAATTATAATATTATATTAAAGATTTATAGTATGATTACTTAATTCATTATAACATTTCAATATTTTATTATAATGTGATTAGTTGATTACATAATTAATTATAAATATTACATAATTAGATGAATTAATGATTATGACATTATATTATAAACATTAATTATAACATACATTATCAACAAATGATTAATTAATTAAATAATTAGAAAATTAATTAATTAAATATTACATTATAGTTAAAAATTACTTAATAAATTATACATTATTACATTACATTAAATTATGATCACTTAATTAATTATAGTATTACATAGTTAAATGATACTTAATAGTTTAAATTTATAACATTACATTAAAACATTAGTAATATTACATTATTTTTATTACATTACTTAATTAAATGATTAAAAATTTAATTAATTATAATTTACATTAAGAGTTATTAATATGATTATTATTCACTATAACAATACATTATTGTATGATCAAATAATATTATAACATACATAGTTAAATAATACTTATTGATTATGAATTATGTAT